AATTTTAGTTGATTAAAAATCCTATTGAACAACTATTAAAGACTATTGACTTGAAGATCCAACATTATATCAAACTAAATTGTTGGTAGATAAATTTTATATATTTTTCAAGTTTATATGTCTGTCTTTGTTAAAAAAAATTTAAATAGTAGACATTACAATACATTATCTAACCGACTGACGACAACAATACGAAACCAGTACCATATTTTTTATCGGCATAATCATCAAAAGGTACACACACATACATACGTGTCTTGTGCAATTTTTATGTTAAATAAATATACAGTAATTTGATAACGACATTGTTCACGACGACGACGACTACTCATGTTGTGTAAGAAAAATGGCGGTGGTATCACTAGAAAAGTTAGACCCTGACAGCGATTGAACATGTTACATTCAATCAAACAATAGGCGTAAAATATTACTTATTATAATTGTCTTCGTACATCACTGATTTTTATCGCAAACAAGGAGTGGTGGTAGTGGGAGTAAAACACCCTCAATGTGAAAAGATGATGTAGAAAAATATTTATCATTTATATACATAATATATATAAGATACATCATCAATATTGATTTCACGCATAGAATAAGCAAAAAATAAATAGATTAACGATGATCACCATCATCTTTCCCATCATTCATATGTGATATATTAAGCACTCTTGCAAACGAAAATAAATCAAGAAGGATGTTTTTGTTTTTACTACAATCTCAGTTACAAAAAAATAAAATATCATTCCTAAGACTATCTGTCAATAATCAGTTACTCATTTTGGTTTTCTTAGGAAACTTGAAACCATCGTATAGATATTATCGATAGGACGACCAATGAGCGAACGGTCTTGACTCGGTCATTTATCCCAATTTAAGTAAAACATAGAGGTTTATGCTGTTCATGAATCTGATCTTCGCACTTTAAGTACAACTTATAGAGGCTTCTAAGAACTGATCTTCTGAGATTCGTTATACACTTCCTTTTGGCTCATTTAGATACAATCGGACTGTAAAACTTTTATTTTGATAATGTTTTAGCACTGTGGAACAATATTCATTAGATCTCAAAATTGTTTGTTCCAAAAGATATAGCTTGGAGACATTTTTCGAGTTAGGTCGAGTGAACAACAATTTATTTTTTTCATTATGGCCAACTTGGACTAGAGAGATGCTTGCTATGTTTAATTAAATTGAACAGTTTTCGTTTATAAACTTGGTATCTTTGATTAAGATAATAAAAATAAGAAAAAAAAAACTTTAGAAGCTTTCTGTTTCCTTTCTCTCTCTCATTCGCGCGCTCGCTCTTTAACGAAAACGAAACGATAGAAAATCACAACACCTTTCTTTTGTGTGAGAGAAAAATCAAGTGTGACAAATGAAGAAGAAATTATTTAAAATAAAAAAAATAAAAAAAATGTACTGTATGGAGAATACACACAGGAAAAACAAAACAAAAAACGAAAAATGTAGAGAATGTGTATGACGGGAAAAATGAAAAGAAACGAGAATAAGAATGGATGCTTGATTATCGTGTATGTACATACAAAGAGAGTAATGAACTAGACTGTTGTTCGTTTTTTTTTATTTCTTCTGTGCTTTTCTTCCCTTTCGTTATAGTCTATTCTCTCATAAATAGAGGCAAATTGTTACTGATTTCCTTTTAATTCTCTCTCTCTTTCTCTGTCTCTCTCTCTTGATGATGTATATTATGTGACATACACACATACTAATTATAAACGAAAATTTAAATATATGTATATCGTTGTTTAAAAATGCGTTCATATATCCCAAATGAACAAATGTAACTTGTTCGTTGGATTTAATTGGATTTAAGATTATTATATCATCTATTGCGTATTTTAAAATAATTAATAGAACAGTCTAACGATCCTTTTCTTTTTTGCTTTGTATATAATAATATGAACATTACTGCTCATGGATTTTGCCGTTTATGGCAAAAGTGATATCGCTGATATTATTGAACATCATCTTTATTCAAATAAATTTGTTTTATATTTGTCAGGTAAGAAAAACAGATACAATAATATGTATAAAAGTCTTTAAGGTCAAATATTGGAACTCGTTGAAAGTTTGTACGTACTGTCCACGAGAGAGTAATAAAACGGTAATAAATGTAAAATAGCAGGCTTGCCAAAGGATAGGTGTGTTTTTTTTTCGGAAGAAACTCTCTTGTTCAAGATCATACATTTATTCGTTGCAAATAGAAGAGAGTAAATTTAGTTCTTATTTCTGTAAAAAACGAAAAGTGGAAACAATTGAAATCATATGTTTTTTCAGATTATTTAATAAATCTAGATATTGTTAGAGAATTTTGTTTTATAACTCAGGATAATATAGTGTCATAATTAAAAACAGTCCTATTACAAGGAAAAGCAAGGCACTGCAGTGATGGTTTTTTTATGAGATCTGCTATATCAAAAGTTTTTAGATAAGTATAAGAAAGTATTCTATGCGAAACATATCATTAAAACTAGAAAACAATTATGCATTGTTTAAACCTATGATCTGTTAGTTTATTGCACGATTGTATCTGATGGGAACTTACCATTATATTGTATTGCTACTAAACCGTTGTTCGCTCAAATTTTAGCGGAAACTGACTCCGCTGAGAATCAGAGCATAGGGGGACAGTTTCCTGGTGTTTCAAACCATTTTTAGTTTATTTAAAAACTAGAAAGAAAAAAAGTGACTCTTGATGTCGGGGACATACTACTCGATCAAATTTTTTGAAATTAATCCATTAAACTGGATGAAAAAGTGCAAATTGATCCATAATTTTCATGACGTGCAAAATACTGTAAAAATCGAAGTGTATTGCGTAGATTTAAAAAGTAAAAAAATGTATTCTGGTACATTTTTATTACAATAATTTTTGTTTTTTTAATTTAATTTTTTTACAACGACCTATATAATTAAAGTGAAATATCATCTCAAGAGTGAAAACAAAACGAAATAATTTAAATTCTTTTTACTGTATGAGAGATCTTGTTGAGTAAACTACAGGTGTTCTGTTATTAATTTATATCTGCTGATAAATAACACTGTTTTACTACCCTTTATGGCTGTTTCCCTCCTAACGTGCGCTTTTCATTCACACAGGTGTACATCTTGACTTGATAATTGAGTAATCACACTTTGGAAAAATTTTAACGCGATGAATTGCTCAAAATCTTATTAGTTTTTAGTTAGGTAGAGAGCTTAAATTCTTAAAATAAAGTTAACAACTACACATTAATAGTATCGCCTTTTCAGATTAAACCGTGGGAGTAAGATATAGTTGTACTACTAATGTTCGTTATTTAACAATTTATTTAAATAGACTCATATTTATTGTTCTTAAAAAAACCCCGTTTATTCTTAGATAACTTAAAAACTACTCGTATGTGTGTGTGTATATATATATACAATTATATATTCAAGATTTTTTTCCTTCTCCAATAATCGTCATAATAATAAAAATGACGACGATTTGTGTGTGTACATACTCTAAATGATATAGTTTTTCATTTTCGTTCTGCTTTTTAGTATTTTTTTGATTATATGTCTGAGCGTACATATTGAGACATCATATCGTGAGAAGGAGAAATCTATGATAATTGTTTCAGGTATATTTATTTACCTTCAATAATCAATAACCAAACAGTTTTCCCTAAAACTTTCCAGATGACACACAAAAAAAAATGTTAGATTGACTTTTAATGGATCATTCATACTAGACAAAAATACAAGTCAATCATCGAAACATTAAAGCAACATAGAAATGTTTCTTATTATAGTAGTACAAAGTCAGAGTTTGATATTTGTGTATGAAAAACATTTTTGTTTATGTAGCAAGCGAGAAAGTTATTCTTATCGTGAAGTAACTAAAGTAGAATAAAGTACTTAGCATATATAACTATGTCGCACACCTTGTGATGTTGAACTACCCGTGTAGTGGTAAATTAAGAGAGCGAGAGAGAGAAAAAAATGAGTATTCGAAGTGTTTTCTTTTTTCTCTCATCCATATGATATTCTTACACGCTTACAACGGTAATGACTGTAAAATAAATGTAAATCATTCTTATATAATATTTATGTGCACCTTGACACGGAAAGTACACTTTTTATCTCTCTTTGATAAGAATTATTATCATTATTATCTTTTACTGCTGTTACACTCCTTACTACTATATTCCGACTAACATTTTATTGAGAGAGATAATATTCATAATCATAAAAACTATTTAATGGACCACTAATGATCTAAAAAACCATTGTTCACAAAAAGCTGTTACAATAGCTAGAACTTTAACTTTATGTATCTGTGATAGTTTTTGAAATCAATAAATATTATTTAAAAAAAATTTTTACTATGATATTTGAATGAATCTACTACAATGACGCCTCGCTTTTTTCTCTTGTGGGATAGCGTTCATCATTTATGATTTTTTATCATAAATACAGATAGATAATCAATAACGCTTGGTAGATTTGACATATGGCTCTTCTATAATAAAATGTGAGATATATTGTCTAGATTATCACTTTCAAGTAAAAAAAATATTTACTTGTTTGTTTGAATAAACTGTGCACATAATATTTATATTATTTGAACCCACAGAAATCCACTACAAATAGAAATTGAGAAAAATCGACGAAAAAGAAGAAAATCGTCATAGTCCTGGTCCCAGGTGTGGTATTCAAATATTTTCTTTCGCTAAACATTCTTCATTTTCACGCCTTTTCACCTATAAGATATCTTCTATTATTAGTAAGTATTTGATGTGTGTTTAAGTAAACAAATACGACATTTTGATGTTCTTCTTTGTTACTTTAAGGTTTTAATTCAATAGCAGTAGTAATATTGTTTTAACTAACTTTTCTGCATGATAAGTTGACATAATTTCTTTACGAGATTGAAAAAGAGAATATAACATTTATGTAAAAATTGATCTAATAATCAAACGACGAAAAAATATTTGTTTTTGTTCGGGTACATGTATCCAACTTGTATTTTTCAAGAGATGATACTTGACATCGTATATGTGTACATAGTTGATAGTTTAGAATTTCTGTTCCTTACATATGTTGCGATCTTTTTCAAGTATAATTTACTAATGAATAGTGTCACTTCTCTCGCTTGCTGTCCGATAGTTATTTGATAACATTTATGAGAATGTATTATTACGATTCATTCACAAACCAATTTCGATGTCATATATATGATCAAGATTAATGCATGGATCATTTCCTGAACATAATAATTGTAGAAAGACCGTCATACTGAGTGTATACGATAAACACAGATCTAAGAATAGTGGTTAATAATAAATTGATCATAGTTTGTTTTGCAAATACAGAAATTCTCGTATAAATAAGAGATAGTTGCTAAAATTCTGTGTTGTACAGTTGACTAATTTTAGATTTATTCTCATGTCACATTTTTTCCAGCAAAAATCGTTTGGTTTTTAGTGAAGTACAACTAAACAAGTCTAAAAACCAGTCTACTAATAATATTCTTCTGAAATTTATCGTGATAAATGAAATAGTAGAACATTTCAAACACCTTCTATGATATTTCAGTGAATTTGTTACAGTATAAATTCCTAAATCAAGATCTTGTGAAGAAATATGCGATTTCTAAGCCAAATGATTGATTAATATTTATCATATACTTTTATTGTTCTTGTCGATTCTATTTTAGTCATTGCCACTGTATTCAAAGCCAATAGTAGATATTAATTCATCATCCAGCATTTCTGCTACCACTTATGTACAATATAAATTAGTTGATCATCATTATAAAAGAATCCCGTTAGTTAGTTTTATTCATAAACAACCCACGGGTACACAATTACCAATATTTAGATATTATCGAATTGTATTTCATTGTAATATTTTACCAGGATCAATCTATTTAAGAGTATCAAATATAAAACCAAAACGAACAGTAAATTTTCTTATTAAAGTTCATTATTTATCTTTCAATTTATTTGTTCTTTTTTTAGGTTGTATTAAATCGACAAGATTCATCGAGTAAATTTTAATACATATATAACATAAGAAGAAGAATATTGTTTGTTTTTTTCTATTTTTCTAGCTATATTTGGATTTCGAAGTGTTGGAGCCTATAGTCGTGTACAAATACAAAATTATCAATCTGGTCTTTGGTTGTGTATGAATTCAGACGGACGTATTATACAAAAAGTAAGATCTACTAAATATCTATTTTCTAATAGCAGAAAAATAATTTTTCATTTGTTGAACAACGATAATAAACATAGTGTAGATTAGAAAAGTTAATAGAATTGTTTAATAAATATTTTTTATGAAAACTAGAAATACTAATAAGTAACTATAATTTTCTTTTTTCCATTTTAGTTAAATATTAGTCTTGATAGTTTGACTTGTACATTTCGTCAAAATACCGATGGTCTCTATCAATATTTAATATCTGAATTATATCCACAACGAAAAATGTCATTTTCTACATTAACTTTACTAAATAATAATCCAATATTAAAACATCGTTATGAAAATCATCAACAATTTTTAAAACGTGAACGATGTGATCGATTTTTATTTGATCAACAAGTTGATTCAAATTTATTTCAACATCAACAACAACCATTGACGTATAATAAATTTAATTCTTATCGATATTCAAAGAAACAACATGTTATTTAAACAGTGTTTAATGTCAGAATTGTTGGACAACAAGTTAAAGAAAGTATACTTGGTTCATTTCTCCAAGAAGAAAATAGTAATGAAAATTAAAGCATATATCTTTTTAAATGCTCCATTGGAATATTAAAAACACTATCTCTAATGCGTGTAAAAAATTGATTTGCTTTTTTAATTTGTACAGTTTTTTTTGATGTTTTTCTCTTGTGCAGTGTTATTTTATGGTCATCAAAACTTTTTACGGTTTTGTCTAAGTTAATAAAATAAAAATGTTCGGAAATCTAGTGTATGAGTAAAGGATAATCTCTTATGAATCAATGTTAAAGGTGAATTCATTTCTGATCTATTATGCTTAATTTAATTAAATTATGTATTCTTGATACTTCAAAGATTTTACTAGATTTTAAACACTGAATTCGAGATATCCGAATGTAAAACAGAGTCTAATAAAAGTTTTGAGTTAAAATTTATTATTATTCATTTTGCACATCGAATATTGATTCAAAATCTGTGAATTTACAATCCTTGCTGTACTAGAATTAGAGTAATCATTTGATATTAATATTAGTTATATAAAGTCATCAAAAATTTTATAATATATATATGAGAAAACAGTATTTGGTTATGTTCAAAAATTCCATGAGAAGTTTTCGAATAGAAAAAGTACGATCTATCACAATTAGACATGCACTGAGTAATTGACTAAGGATTTTATATTTTTTCAAAAACCTGACGTTTTATAAGTTACTTCGTTAAAAATTTTCTGACTCGGTAAGAATATAGAGCAAACATTTCTCTATAAAATGAGAGACTGGACAGCTTTGTGTGATTTGTTTTAAGAATTTTGGTAGCGATACCTCAAGAACACATAATCAAGTAGTAAACGCGTACTCGGTTAGTCCTTTATGGGATATCGTTGCCGAAATCTCAAAGCAAATCATACAGAGTTGTCCAGCCTCTCATTTTATAGAGGAATGTATGTATCTCTATATTCTTACCGAATCAGAAAACTTTTAATGAAACAATTAACGAAAAGCCAGGTTTTTGAAAAAATATAAAATCCTTAGTCAATTACTCGGTGCATGCCTGACCACAATAAAATACTGTGATAATCTGTTACATTACGGTAAGATATTTTATCGCAATAGATCGTTATCTGTTTTTCTTGTCTTCAAAGTGGTGATTGACAGGATATACTTTTCCCATACGCTATATCTTGTCAGTTAAAATCAAATTGCACACTTATTGATTGTTCGTGCAAAATATGATGAAAATTCATCGGTCAGAGTAGCTTATTCAGAAAAGGGATGTACCATGACAGATACTTCTTTCATGTAATAGTCTTTATTTAACAAAATTCTATGGGAAAAGAGCGCCTTCCTACAGCTTTTCTATGGATGTATACTATTACAGCATTTCAAGCATATGTGCTAGGGATACGTATATATATTTTTGATAGAGACTGTTGTTTTAGAGACTCATGATTTTAGGTCTTCAAGAAATATAGTCATCGGATCAAGAGCATGTTATAGCTTTTAGGAGCAAGTTCAGAATATTTGCATATAATTACATCCGTTAAATCGGATAGTAATGTCACGTTGTATTATTATATATCCGTAGGATTGACACGAAGATAAGCGAAGGACAAGTTATGTCGTATGCGTTGTGTATATATTATTGGAATGCCCAGTTTATGAAAGACAAGTTTTTCCTGATACATAGCATGACATCGCCTTTTTATATCCTATATATCACCCCATCAAGTACAGTTATGTGACATCCCTTTGAAACTAGTATTATTATTTTAATAAGGTTTTCTGACAAACTTGAACACTTATGGAAACTTTTCAAGTAATTTAGAGCTCAGTTCTCTTTTTGACACAAACACTCGGACAGTCAACAGCATGCGGACTGTACTCCTAAATTACAATAAAGGTAAAAAATACCTTAGAAAGACGAGTGAGTGTCAACACACAACGGAAAAAACAAAAACAACTGATATTCTTATGAGATTCTCACAAAAAATTGACACATTAAACAACACAGAAAAATGAATACTTTTTTTAGTAATAAAGGATAACTCAAAAAAACAAAATAAATATAGCACATAGAAACACAATCAAATCACTTTAGAAACTAAAAACATTTGATTTAAGCCCACCACTTTTGCAAAGTACTCAGCTTAAATTCTGACATTTAAATGTTGGTATACAATTATATTTTCCAAAATCTTGTATTCGTTGTTGAACACAGGAATCAATCAACCATCTTGGGCGTAAAAATTTGATACCCTTTCTTACTCCATCTTCGTAACCATGTTTATTTTTTATATTTTCATCGTCCACTAGTACAATGCAATATCGCTCAAATACTGTATGAGGAAATGTGCTTTGATGTAAAAATATGCCACCTGATAACCAAACCAATTCACCTAATTCCTCAGAGTCCATTTCCAAACAGCCACTAGTACAAAGTTTAACTAAAAGAAGCAGATGAAAAAATTTGCAGTGAAATCAAAGCAAGTAAGTGACGAACCAAAAAAATTCGATGGAAATAATCGTTTATTTTGCAATTGATTTGTTCTAGATGTACGCGGTCCATAGTGTTGATGGGATATTGACGTATCACCGTAAATTTCAAAATCTTTCCAATCAATTATTCGTTCTTGTTTTAAACATTCGATAATCCATCGATAAGAAATAACGTTAATGTGTCGTACAATTGCCTGAATAACATTTTTTGTCAATGTGCAAACTAATGGTTGATCAACAATTTCATCCGTTATTAAATGCGTTATTTTATCGTCAATTACTTCAGATAATGGATTCGGTATTTGAAACTTTGTTAGAAATTCTTCAAGTTTAAACTGAGGAGAACAGAAATTAAATTAATGACTTTTTATATGTCCTTCTCACTTTTTTCCACTTACCATTTGTTCAATCGTCAAATTGCTTTGTGATATGAATATTTTTTTTTGTTCAGTGTATGAAATCATTTCATCAATATTCGTTTTTGTCAATGATGTGCTGGTCGCGTGAGTCCATCCAACCATTTCGAAACCATTTGATTTCGTATCTAGACATACAAGTTTGATAGATTCATCTACCAAAATATTTTTAAAAAGTTTTTAAAGTCGAGAAGTAAAAATAAAATGAATAATTAAGCGAAAGTCAATTGTCAGGTCAAAAATGTACACGTGTAACGAATAGAGCGTTCAAAGTTACCCATAAATCTATGTTTTTAAATCTTGGAAGTTCAAGATACCCAAGATACAAAAGTTCTTCTAGGAGACCTCTCTGAAATTTGTCCACAATCACGATGTTTTGTTTTATTTCGATTAATCCTTCGTTTTCCATTTTTAAAAGTTTCCATTATAAACGAGTCGATCGAGTGAAAAAATTGAACAAAATATAATCTCTTTTAAGTTTTTACAGCTTTTGCCATCAGTACAATAATGATTGCTTTTTCCTAGTCATTGCTGAGCTAGTCAAAACCGCCACAACAATTTCCGATACATTCTTGTTCAAAGACAATGAGTTTCTGAAACCTGGACAAATTTGTTCATATTTCTCGACATTTAAAGCAAACGGTAAAATGTAATTGATAAAGTTGATGGATATGCCGACGAAGATGAGGAAAAATTTCGAGATAATCAAGTCGCAGACCAGATCAAACGAACGTTCGAAATCAGGTCCGAAGCGTTTAACGTCCAAAGTTCAAAGAAAAAGACGATCATTATCGCCCTCATCGAAAAAGACATCAAATTCTTTAACAGGTTTGACATTGTCCAATGAAAATGAGCTTTATTAGAAACAGAAATACGTTGTTCGATGTGTTCGATACTAATTTTTATCTAAATCTGTGTTGTTTATGTCAAAAATAATTATTTCAACAAAATGATGATACATGCTAATCTTTGCGGTACTCATTGTAATTCATTTTTGGACACAATAATTTCAATCAATAGTAGTTCATCTTGTAGAAAAATGTTTGTTGAAAAATCGAAGTTTAGTGGGCAAAAATTTGATTTGAACTCTAGGTTTTTCAATTTCAAAATTTTCAAAAACTTGGACTCTTCTTATTACACTTAATCCTTTACCTCCTGCAGTTGATCTTGCAAAGCGAAGTTGAAACAGTCGTAACTCGGTTACGAAGGATTAATCGAAATAAAACAAAACATCGTGATTGTGTATCATAATCAAATGAACCCAAATCCTTTTACACTCTGTTTTATTCGAAAAAAAATGTGCTCTTTAATGTATGAAAAAGTTTACCTTCAACGTCATGGTTATCACTGTTCGAATTTGTATTAATATCTGGCTGTTCATCATTGTTTGAAAATGTACTAGTTCTGTCTATTGAGAAAAGAAATAAAACACTACAAAACTACTGTATTAATATATTACAAGAATCAATTTGTCTTCATCATTGTTAATATCTTCTTAAAGTGCTAACAGTTCCTTTATAATCTTACCAGTAACTTGTTTCGGGACAATTTCTTCATTACGAATTTTAAGACGTTTGAATAATGGTATCTCATCTACGGTAGAACAACGATCATATTTTGTACAACTATAAAGTTTTAGTGTTTACCTTTTTCAAAATCATGAGAATCATGGGTTTGTATTGCTATCGTTGCTTTTTCTATTTCTGATGTCGTTTTTCGTTGTTTGACAGAATTTTTATTCTTTTGTTGGTGAATACATGCTGTTTTTCTATGTTTAATCTGTTCATTTATTAACGAATCTGTTATTGCTGAAATGTTTGCTTTTTTTGCTAATATTTTCTTTTCATTGTACGAAGCATATGGATTTCGTTTATTTCCTTCAAAATAGCCTTGTGATGTGGCTATGCGAAAAATAAAGAGATGTTTGAGATAGAAGACAAGCGCGTGCGATAGTGATGTCTAACAGGAATGTCAGTGAAAAATGGATCTAATAGTTAAAACGCTGCTCTTGTACATGAAAAACACACATACCATTATTAGATTCTTCGTGTTTGGTATCTCTTTTTGTTTTGGATAAAGATCTACACACCGGTAACGGCGCTGGTGATTGTTTTAATAAAAATTTCGGTTCTGTGCGTTGACGATTTCCAAAATGCGCGTCGACTGATTTACTCACTAATGTATTTGTTGATGATATGCTTAAGGATTTTATCAACTAGAATAGAAAGCAACCAAAAGCACCGTCTAAAAATTCAATACTTTTCCTTCTTTTAACATGTCAGATAAATACGATTTTTCAGTTGCATCTCTAGTTAAAATAAAGAGATTCAGTAGCTTACATGTGATTTAGGTTTAAAGATAAATGGCCTTTCAAACATTTTGTTGCTTTCTACTGTTTTCGATCCTAAAACATGATTATTATTGTTTCTAAAATGTTCAGTTGAATCAACTAATGTTTTTGCTCGCCGTTTCGCCACCGGTTCTACAACATTCTTTCGGTTTTTACGTTTGAGCTTAGTTATAACATCAGTGACACTTCGAACATAATGTTGTTCATTTTCTTTTGTATTATCATCATTCGTTTTCATTTGTATTTGTTCAATAAAATGATTGTAACATAAATGATATTTATTCCCTTGACTATATCGATCACATGTTGCCAGTGAACAAAGACGATGCCATGCTTGACCATTATATTTTTTACGTATACCATTATCAAATGCTCGTATTTCATTTCTATTTGACTCACAGACATTTTCACCGGTTGAAGTTGTTCTCGTTACTATAACTGATATTGGTACTGGTTCTATTTGACGATTATTTGATAAATCAAGTGATTGTTGCATGATCTGAAAACATGAAAGAATAGAATACTTCGATGTGCAAAAATCTTTGGTTGAACAATATATCTTCAAAAGCCAGCAAAAGACTGTACTATACATGGAAGTTGGTTTATGTAAACAAAACGAAAACCAGCTTAGCAAACTCTTTTGTTAACAGACAAATTCTATCATTGTCTATTCATCGTAAAGAGCAAAAATAACCATATCATAGAAACGACGTTTACTTTTACGGCATTTTCCACGTGTAGAGACAAGTTTTAAACGAATTCTGCGCATAGATATTAAAAAGCACAAAACATCTGTTGTCTCCACTGTCTTCGTTTCAAAACATAAAAGTACGCTAATTCCTTTAAGATCAAATTGTATTGCAAGTATCTCATACTAGAATATGGTAGTAATATATTCTACTATACTTGGTTTCACTAATATAGACAAGAAATTAATAGTTAAATTTCAATCAATTTTCTTTTCTGCTTTGCATTCGTACTGTTTTCAAGATACTAAACTGTACTCGGTTTTGCTGTTCAAAGCATAGTTATTGCTGAGAAGAATCTCTGAGCAAAACTTTCCCCTTCTAAAGCTCGTACTGCCATCTTTACAATCTATTACTTATTGTAAAGTGCATAGACGCTCCTTTTCCGTAATACATTCGTTTCGCTTTTCTACCTTAATCTAACACAATATAGAGAACACATATACATTTTCTGAAAGATAGGGAAATCGAGGCACATCCAGGACGAATATAGCAGCTGCTTTTGAAAAAAACGTGCTTATTCGAGATGTATAGAGATTCTTGTCTGTCTATCTTTATATAGAAGAGAAAAACTGTACAAGAATTCAATTCATTTCTATTAAACTTTTCCGAGTGAGCACACATGTCCAATAAAAGATGAGAGATAGCACACTTTTTAAGACAGAGTAGTATAGCACGTACGTACAGTTTTTAGAAAATCAGATACTAGGTTACTACTTTCTTCAATTCAAAGAAGGTAAGTAGAAATGCTGATTATCTCAAGATAGCACTATATATAAATTTTGCTTATGGTTAAGAAAATATTTATTTTTCTAATGTGATTCACTTTTACAGAACTATCCGCGAATCTTGTTTGTAAATATTATTTTTCACAAGTTTAGCGTGGAATGGTGCTGTTGTAAAAGGCGAAGGAGTTTTGAAAAAAATAGTAGTCGGGATCGTACTCTAATTGATCTTTTATGAGAGTCGTATTATCGTCTTATCATCCGTTGATAATAAGTTATGATGTGATTTCGCTGCTAGTTTTGGTAGTGTAATGTATACCTGTGACGAGTTTGAAAAGATGTTTTTCACTTGTTTGTAAAATGACTGTTGGTTAGTTTTGTTTTTTGACTAACTCTTTTTATTTTCTCTAGATTCTGTTTACATTCGTCGTCGTAGCCTATTTTTTTTCGTTCAAAATGTCAACACAAGACAGTGGCGTTGGTCGTGCCAGAGGCCGTGGTCGAGCTCAATTACTTCTCGGAGGTAAGAAAGGACTAAATGTGAATAATACTTTTGAAAATGTTTCTCCTATCTTCTTAAGCGAGAGAAACGCAACGTCCAGGTGATATTGGTGGTGCTCTTGCAGCAGTGGTTAGTCCAGCACAACCAGCAGGAGCCGGCCCGTCTCCATCAATAAGTCTCTCTACAACAGTTTCACCCTCATCGGCAACAACGACAACAGAAGTAAACCAAACGAGTTGAAAGAAATGATATGCAATTCAATATTTGTGCTATTTTCTCTTCAGGTAAAACCGGGCGAAAAACCAAGGCGTGGTGGTGCACCAGTCGTTTTTCAGCAGGCTCCTCGTGGTAAAGGAATCGAACATTTAATGGGCGGATTAGAAATAACACCGAAAGGAACACCGATTGGTCGTGGTCGAGAATATACTTACGCTCAAGTCCATGGTCCTCATACACGTCCGGAACATATCATTGATAAAAGAGGTAAGCAATTATCCTAGTTACTGGCTTAAAATGGTTGGAGAGACGGTTTTCTCAGTACTTTGTTCTTCCTTTTTATGAACAAAAATATGTTTAGTTAGGTCGATAGAATTATACTTCACTTATGAATGTATCTGACACTAACAACGTCCTTGGTTCACGTTTCTAGAAAAAATAAATTGACATACTCCAACTGTTTCAAACAGCTCTTATTATAAGAGGGTTTGAAATAGCATAAGCTGAATAACCTATTCTTTTAGTAAAATACTTTGTTTTTCTGTTAGGAACCGGTGGTGATCCTATCGAACTTGTGGCCAATTATATCAAAATTTTATCTCGCCCAGAATGGGAATTATTTCAATATCATATTGATTTTAGACCCGATATTGTTGAACAACGAAAGATGAGACGAGAAATCGTCAATCAACATCAAGGTGTTTTGAAAGATGTTGCTTTTGATGGAACAACAATGTACTCCTTTATTGATATGGGTGACGTAAGTCGAACATGTTGTTTTTTAGTCCCAGACTTTTCGATGGCACTTGCGAATGGTATTAAGCAAGTCATTTTAATTATAGTAGAGTAGAGCTACATCGGGAACCTACTTTTGAAAATCTGTCCTGTTCCACTTAATCACTCTGGAAATCATTCCCGATCCGTCTTCATTGAAAAACGTTTTTGTGTTTAGTCACTTTTTAAAATTGCTTTATCCAGTAGTACTTTTCATTTTCCATGTCGATATTTTTAAACTTTTCTTACAACATCATGTTTTCTGTCCTCCCTCCGTACAGCTCTGTAGTAAAGACAATTTTATTTCCGTTTTGCTCGCAATGAGAAATATTTCTTTTTATAGTTTGTATTATTAAATCTAACCTGTTTTGATTCTAGGAGCGAATTTTTGAATGTCGACATCCGCATACCGGTGAAAGGATCGAAATGGTATTGAAAAAAACATCCGTCAACGCGCCAGATTCTCCAAATTTTTTTCATTTGGCAAATTTGATTGTTAGAAAGTACGTGATTTAAAATTTAATGTGGTGCGATTCGTTGTAGTTTGTTCCTCTTCTAGATTATTGGAATTTAGTAATCTGAAATTGATCGGCCGTAATTATTATTCCTTTGATCAAAAAATCGATTTGGAACGTTATCGCTTGACGTTGTTTCCCGGTTTCATGACAAATGTGAATGTTTACGAATCTCAGTTAATGATAAATGTTGATTTGTCACATAAAGTAAGATGATGTCTACATTGTAAAAAAAATGTATAGCTGAAAAGAACGGTTCCTATTTCCCACGCTTTTTTTAGAGTGGCTTCAAAATGCTACACTGAAGAATACTTTCAAAACGTATACTTTTTTGGAATACCTTTAGCAATTCTGCTCGGCGCTTCCAAAAGCGACCTTTTTTCAAAAGCATTCTATTGTAAATCACTTTTCAAAAGTGTTTCACTACTGTCTTTTAAAAGTGATCTTTCTGGAAAGTATTCAGCGGAAAAGCGGTTCTTAAAAAGGGCGGTTCTGAGTACACTCTGTTTAGAGTATGTCGTTTTTATATTTATTGTAATATTTTATTTTTTACGCTCTTTAGGTTCTGAATAAAACAACTGTCTATGAACGTCTACAAAATATATTTACACAATTCAATGATTACAGAAAATCACAAGATGTAGCCACAAAAGAATTAGTTGGACAAATTGTTTTAACAACGTAAGCTTAAAAGTTTAAACTTTTTGAAAAAGTCTGAGAAAGGGAGTATGAGGATTGGGCATAAGATCTTATTTTTTACCTCAACGGTGCTAAGTTGTTTTCTTCTCCTTTCGCTCTCAAGGTACAATAGTAAAACGTACAAAATCGATGAAATTGATTGGGATAACAGTCCAACATTTAAATTTACCAAACGTGATGGAACAGAACAAACGTTCTTGGAATATTATGAAGAGGTAATTTTTTCATAATCAAACACTTTGTATTTCATTATTTTTTCTCTATCTATAGCGTTATCAAATAAAAATTGAAGATGCCACTCAGCCACTCCTCATCAGCAAACCATCGAAACGAGATCGACGTGCTGGCATGACAGGACCATTAAAACTTATACCTGAACTATGCTGTGTCACTGGTACGTAAATGAGTGAAGTATATCTGAAATCAGAACCCTCTAAGGTTAAATAATTATTTTCTTTTAATTCAGGCATTTCGGATATAATGCGGAGCGATTTTGCCTTTATGAAAGAAATGAGTAATTATACACATGTTGATCCAAATACAAGATTCGCTCGTTTAAATGGTTTGGTTAATGATATGCAAGGGTAAATATCAAGATGCTTTTTTCGATCAAAAATGATAATGACTTTCTTTTGTTTTTGCAGAAATCCTGAAATACAAAAATATTTAGATACATGGGAAATAAAATTGGCCGATCGTTTAATTGATTTTGAAGGGAGAATAGTTCAGGCGGAAGATATTCTTTATGCCGATGTAAGTATTTAAAGTTATGTTGATCACCTTCAATTAAAAAGAGAGTATAGAAGAAGAACACACGTATAGAATCATAAGAAAAACATAAGTTATACCTATAAATATGGATCAATGCATTTTATATTCAGTTGTTCCGACACTAGTTAATAATAACTTAATCCATTCGATCTACAGAATCAGTCAAACCTTTCCAGAAAAGATTGGAAAATTTATTTAACTTTTTAGCCATTACATGTATCTTCTTTAAAGTCATGATAATACATCGATAAAACATATTAATTGTAGAATTGTTTTAGCGTGTTGTTAAATATAAATTCGAAGATGCCGATTGGTCACGAGAGGGAAGAAATTTAAGACACATTAGTGCCAAAAGCTTGACCAAATGGCTTGTTTTATTTCCAGCCAGAGAAGTTGGTATGTAATGTGTGTTATTGCGGTTCTTCTAAAATGAATTTAAAAATCTCTCGAAGCCTCTTTTTTCTTTTCCCTGATCCACAGCTCTCACGTTGATTTATTTTTTTCACTTTTTCAGAATTAGCCGAAGCACTTGTCGATGCCCTAGGACAGGTTTGTACACCATTTGGTATGCAATGTCAATATCCAGAAATGTAAGTTAGCATTGTGTTTGTTTACAAAACTGAATTCATGACAGAAGAATGTTAGTACAACCATTAGGGTTAAAAAAGGGATCTTCTATACTAAAGGCTGCATGGCAAAAGAATATGATGGCGTAGTACGCATACATACACTGCGGATGTCTCTATCAAGTAGTTCTTAATACAAAAATGATAGAAGCTTTTGATTTTTGCCAAGTGAACGAGAGACAAAATACGAGCGCATCTTTTTCAAAGTAGGATTTTCAGGAGATCTTGAAAAATAAGAATTACCCGATCTCTTCGCTTTATGTCCTTTAAATGTAACATCAAATTTCTTAGGTCTCCTACGACTAGTACGAGATCAAATGTTTCTATTCCATAGAGATTTTAAAAGCGTACTGGAAACCTACTTTACTCTTTTAGTACAAAACTAAAAGTTTCGTCACTCACTCAAAATTTTACATGGTCTAAATGTTGACGTGGTTCGCAATGTAAAAAGATTTGCTCTGCTACATTTGATCTCGTACCAGTTGTGGGAGACCTAGGAAATGTGATGTCACATTTAAAGGACATCCACTTTGAAAAAGACAAACTCGAGCTTTGACTCTCAACTGGCAAAAATCAAAAGCTTCCTTCGTTTTTCTATTAAGAACTACTTGATAGAGACATCCGCAGTGTACTTTAAAGTGGATAATCGCTTGTCATATCATCAATGTTATAATTGGTTCAAAGTAAAGCTAAGCTTGTTTTTCGTTTCAGGGTTCAATTGCCAAATGATCGCCCAGAAACGTATTTGGATGCATTAACAACAAAAGTTTCCAAGAGTACCAACTTAGTTGTTTGTGTCTTGACGAATAATCGTAAAGATCGTTATGATGCATTAAAAAAATACCTTTGCTTGGATAATCCAGTTCCGTCACAAGTAAGTTTTTCATCAAAAGATCAATCTTTTCGGTTCAAAGCGACACTGTTTCATTTCTATATTTTCTAGATGGTTTTAACAAAAACAATTTCAAGACGACAACAATTAATGTCTGTTGCAACGAAAATCGGTATTCAGTTAAATGCAAAATTAGGAGGTGAAATTTGGGGCGTTGCAATACCAGTAAGTTCTGTGAACCGAACTTCTAAGAAAATCGTTTAAAAATAATTGTTTGGCTTTTTTTGTAGACGAAAACATTAATGGTTATTGGTATGGATTCATACCATGATTCAAAACGAAAGGGTTAGTGAATTCTGTGAGAAATACAATGGATTGAGTGAAAGGCAGAAAACTAAACAGTATTCTAGTTATTTCATAGAAAGTTTCCAAATGTTTTACTTAGAGTCATTAGCAAGAAAAACTAGCAGAGGGTCAAAGATAACTTCTTTGCAACTAACTGCTCTTGAAAGTCTGACAATAGGTCAGAGAATCAGTTAATAAACTGTGAGTCTGTTACACGATTGTATCTGATGGGATTCTGATATTATACGGTATTGCTACTAACCTGCTATTCGCTCAAATTTTAGCGGAAACTGGTGTTGCTTAGAATTACAGAATATATGGATAATTTCAACCTAGTGATTGAGAGAATTCGATCATCTCACTTTTAAAACAGCGAACCTTGTAATCTGACACTTTAGACGTCTCTAGGGCTTATATTATTCATCATATTCATTGAGGGTTCATGTTCTTGATCTTCTTTCTGCTGTGATGTACTCATGAAGATCAACTACAGCTGTAACCCTTTATTATATATTTTATTTGTATATTCTCTGCCTGCAGTTTTAAAATGCCAGACACGTTTCAACAAACACGGCACATGAGAATAACAACAACACTACACTAAGTTTTTGTGTCATTTTAGGTGCTTCTGTTGGTGCTTTTGTTGCTTCAATCAATCCCTCTTGTACTCGATTTTATTCTCGAATTATTTATCAACGAACCGCACAAGAACTAATGGATGGTTTGCAACAATGTATGAAAGGTAAGAGCAATATTTGTAGTCCTCTTTTGTCTTCACTGAATCCATTATTTGTTCATTTTTAGATGCCTTGCAAGAATATCATAATGTAAACAATGCCTTACCTGATAAAATTATTCTTTATCGTGATGGTGTCAGCGACGGTAAATTGACAAAAAGAAAAAAATAGTTTAAGTTAACCTTAATTGATTTATCTTCTCGTTTTAGGGCAACTGGCAGTTGTAGCCGAACATGAACTACCACAAATCGTCGATTCCTTGTCAAAGATTCGAGATGGCTATGAGTAAGTATTCTATAGTTGAAGACGAGCTAAGAAGTTTAGTGATAACTGTTTTCTCATCTCTAGACCAAAATTAGCCGTCGTAATAGTTAAAAAACGTGGCAATGCTCGATTCTTTGCACGAAGTGGTCGTTCGGTCGTCAATCCACCGTAAATAAGTCCTTGATTTGCATGAACAGAGATCTTTGAATAATATTTGTATTTAGACCTGGCACAGTGATTGATCATACAGTGACAAATGCCGATTGGTATGATTTTTATTTGATTAGTCAATGTGCTCGACAAGGGACAGTTGCACCAACACATTACAATGTCATTTGGGATCGAACAAATTTAAAAGTTGATCATATGCAACGATTAACATTTAAATTATGCCACTTATATTATAATTGGCCAGTAAGTTTTCGGTTTTGTATTTTGAAGGCGTTCTAGCAGCAAGAGTTGAGTTCTGAAGAGTGTTTAGAGAGAGACAATTTTAAGAAATTTCTTGATAAGATCACACTGATGTTTTCACTTTCTATTAGAATTAGAGCGGTAGTCTTGTTATGTTGCAGCAGCATTTCACTCCATTGGATATTTCTGCTTAAGCGTTGTTGTGCCTGGTTCGCTCGATGTCTTACCACATCTACCTCTAACCATCGGCGAAAATATTTGTACATCTGGTTGGAAGCAATATGTTTTTATTCAGCAATTTTGTCGAAAAGTGTTTTCTCTATTCATTGGCAGATTAACGAATTTATCAAAACTATTCGTTTTTACTCATCACTTTCCACGGATCTTTTTTTAACCACTTTTCGCCGTCACTGATGAAAATAAAATGGAGATCCCGAATCTGATATTCATTTGAATCCATAGGTATTTTTAGTACCTGTCTTTTGAAATCTAGTTTCTAAAGACTCACCCCATAGTTTCAGTTTAACAGCCTTTGATATTGCCTGTTTGTACAAGAGCTCGAGTGACACATACGAAAAAGTTTTCCAGCCTGCTGAATAAGTTTTTGCTGAGTCAAAGAGTTCTTACTCTTGAGGCTTGTTCTTTTTTTTGATCATCTGAGAAGGTTTCCTTGCGGGAGAAGTGTGAAATGACTGCAAAGAGTATCTTAAGTGTGTACAGCAAACACATGTTTTTTCTTAGTCCGATCGCTGATGAGTTGAGACCTCTTCATTTACATTTTTTAGGGTACAATTCGTGTTCCAGCTGTTTGTCAATATGCACATAAATTAGCATTTTTAGTCGGTCAATCGTTACATCAAGATTTTCATCATTCATTGGCCGATAAATTATTTTATCTATGAAAAAAAGCAGTGTGAGAGTGAGAAGTAGAGAATGATATAGTTTTTCTAGTTTTTTTGTTTAAAAATCAATCTCAGATAAATCTTTAGTATTTTTCTTTTAATTCTATTTTAATTCACATTTTTTCATCTGTTTTTCTTTTGCTTTTGAGTATGATTTGAGAAAGATATGCTTCACTCCAAAAGGAAAAAGCGAACTTGTACAGTCAGTTCTTTTTTCTTTCGCTGTGTTTTTAGAAATATTTTTGTCTTCTCTTTAAGTATATTTTTTGATGAATTTTTCATGTCATTGTTTTTGATATATTCTATTCTCTCTCACCATCTTTTTTTGTTGCTATTATGATGCTGGTCATCACTATATTTTTTTTTCTCGCAACTGAATTGTATTTTGCGATTTATTTTTGTACAGTATAAAAGAATACTAGTTGTTATAAGCGCTATGCGTATATATGAGTTCTCTTTATTGGTTTTATCGTCTATATATGACTTATACTTGTGTTGGCAAAAAACAGTATTTATTAGTTTATAATAAAAATATTTAGTAACTAATTTGATTTTATCTTGTATTTTACCTTGTATCGAATGGACAAGTACAAATGTAAACGACAAAATAGACGTTATATGTGGGAAAACCAGAGTATGAGCAGCGAACTGAGTTTAACCACCTACTCTCAATGTGTGAGAAAAAGTCAAACTTAAGAAAAAAGGTCCCCAAGTGTACAATCGCTTTTTTTTCGAAATTTAGTGGACAATAGGTAAATGACTATGCTGAATCCGAATATGACATTCGTTTGGGTCTTTAGGCCTCCAGAGACCGAATTTCTAGAAAACCAGTTTTTCAAAAACTCTAAAAGATAACAAAAGCCTTTCTTAATAAGACATGATTGTAGCCCGCAAATTTTTGATTAAAATGAGACATCTCCCAGCTCTGCATGACCCTTCT